CACAGTCCCTCCTCTTTTAATAAAAGACACACAGAGACGCACAAACAGAGATGCATACTGCGCATTGTCGTCCGTCCACTCCCACTCGCCTGCTGTGTCTTCCACGCGGAGAGACACACAAATCCTACCTGACACGCAGACGCACACCTTTGCCACCCTCCTTGTCGTCTCCATCTCACTGAGACCCCCTGTGATGCCAGCTGACACAAAAGTCATATGAAATCAAAAAGGCCTGCTCCCACTCCTCTGTTCGCAGGTTAATGGTTCAGGGCTGAGCGGCCCCGGCTCATATCTGGAGGAGCCTGAGGGCCGATCTGTCTAATATCTGGTGTCTACTGTTACATGAAAAAATGTAGGATAAAATGCCCTGGGAGAAAAGATCATTGAGTCCGTGCCAATGAAGGATGTGTGTATTTTTCCTGTTTTTTTGTATACATGCATTTGTGTGAAACCGTTGTACAAATGTATGCAGGTGCAATTGTGTGTTTGCATGTGTATGTTTGTGTCTTTGTGTGTGTGAAGTGTAACGCCAGCATCCAAGGAGGCACATTGTGGCGTGTGAGAGCTGTGTGCATGTGTGTTAAAGGGTTAACAGTAATATCTGAAGTGACAAAGGGTGACCTGGCAAGTGTTATTATTCTCCTCACATGAATAATGGAACTTAATATGGAGGAGGTGATAGCTGGGAGCAAACACACACACACACACATAAACACACCCGCTCACATCACCACCCCGACCAGAGGAGGATCTCGCCGTCATTCTCAATCCCCCCAGACTTCCAGGGGCCACAGAGAGTCATCATGCCCGGAGAGGAGAGGCCTTGGCTGGGGAAACTAACCAATGGAGGGGGATCTTTATGGTGGAAGGGGGAAGTTCTGGAAGACATTTGGTCAAAATTCAATCAATTATACAGTACTTAGGAAGCCATGACAAACATGGAATGGATAATGGAAGACTGCCCTTTGTTCCCCTGCTGCTGCTGCTGCTGCTGTTTGTTGGGTCTCCTCATATTTTCTCCCTTCCTCTTGTAATTCATTCTCTTCTTCATTTCTCATCGTACACATGGATACTAAAACTTGGCTTTTCTTGAACTTTCGTGAACTTCGTGTTTTTCGTCTTGTCTCCATCCAGCTCCCGAGATTCCCCAAGCCCTTGAAAAATATGCAGTTGTTTCATAATCAGTATCACTATATTTCACAGAATTTGTCATCCTAATAGAACTGATGTATAATTTAAACACCCATCCTTCACTTTAATAGAATTTTTTGGAGATTAATTGCCTGTTCCCTCAAATGCTGTGGCAATAGAGGAAGGCCAAAAAGGCTAAACCCATTAATTGAAACGTGGAAACAGATTGCCAGACACTGGTGTACAAACCGCCGCGCTGTCCAAACCATCCTGGTGTGTGTGTGTGTGTGTGTGTGTGTGTGTGTGTGGGTGGGTGTGTGTGTGGTTAGTCTATCAGTGAGTGTCCTTTTCAAGGATCACAAGCCAATCTCCTGTTGGCGATAGCCTTTGCTTCACTCAAAGGTCGGCAGGTGTGACTCACAGAGATGAGACGAAAACTGTTTACATGAAGAAATAAAGCAACTATCGATGTTAAATGTACTGAAATATTAATAATACATTGTGTTACAGTAAAAAGCAAGTACACAATCTCATATTAAATGGCTAAAAGGCAGCCAGAGGCATCAGCTTTTCACTGAGAGTGATAGAGATTTTTTAATTCATAGAACAAATAACGGGTTTTAGCAACATTATAATCAAAATGAAACATTTAGTTATACACGTGTAATTTTATAATAAAACCGTGTTTTTTCGCTTTAAGCTCTCATTCTATTCAGGAAGTCTCTCAGGTTGGAAACATACCAATTCTTTATTTCAATATCTTCACCTGGTAGTGATGGACGCAGACTCTTGAGTCCGCAAACTGAAGCTCAGCGGATGTGCCTGAAACCTGTATTCTCTCAAATGAACAGCAGAGGTCAACTGTTGTCAGTTTCTATTGTAGTTCCTATCAAGAGAATAATCGACTTCTCACATGAACTAAGACGTCATTAAACATTTTCACACAGAGTTTATCTTCTAAATCTCTGGTTTCAAGTCTTCTTCAATACGTCATGTTAATTTTGTTTATTATGGTCCTGTTTAGATTAAAGTAGATAGTAAAGAACAGTATGAATTGGGGTATGAAAACCAACTGATTGACGGCTAGTGTCGTCCAATCGGTGTAGGTGGCCGTACAGTGTCCTCGAGCTCTCAGTCAGGCGCCACCTCTCGCTCCTCCACTTCTAGTTCATAAAACCAAGATGGACAAAATGCCAAACTTGAGGATTCAAAGCAGCAGTTCATAAACCAAAGGGCGATGTCACAGTGGGATGAAAGTTGGGTGAACTATCGTGATTGTAGCTATTTAAGAAAAAAAATCTTTTTTTGGACATTTCTGTTTTCTCCGTGACCACATTTCCTTCCAGAATTTTACTTTGCACGATTACCTTAAATCTATAACATCACTTAATTAACACAGGATGTCCCGATAGGTGTTTCAAGCTGTTGAGACCTTTGCATCTGTCCATGTCCAGCTGTTACTAATCAACACATGTATCAGGCTCATACACACTTTAACTATAAACTATAAACTCATTTCATTAGTCCCAAAATGTCACCCAAAAAGTGAGGAAGCTGAATGCTGCTCGAACACCACATTTCCATAACCCTAAAACCTATTGTACAAATGGACAACCAGTAAACACTCGTATAATGAAAATTTCATTCAAAGCCTTGACACACGAGTTTTTATTTTGGCAGCCTGAACCGCGTAGCTCCCGGAACTGGTGTCAGTCACTCAGCTGGAGTCATAAAGCCAGAGAGATAGACACACAGTCTCATAATGGCTTTTATTTGACTCCGATTGCTTTTCTCCCGTTAGAAGAAATCACAAATATCATGGTTGGTAAACAAAACAATAAAAGATTTATTAACCATGGAAGTCCTCTGAAATATGACTTTTTAATGCTCTTTTTTAATCTTGTCCTTTTTCTTTTTCTTTCTTTCTTGTGTTTTTTTTGCAATCATTCATGTTTGTCAGCAGTCCACAGAGGGCAGAGCGGTATAAAAGAAATGCAGATTATAGATTTAAACAAGATAGATTTACAGATATACTTAGAAAGTTGGGCAGATCGACGGAGAGAATAATAGATCATAGAGAACGGTAGAGAAAGTGAATGCAGGATAGAAAGCGAGAGTGATAACAGCTTTACTTTATATCTGTTTCCTATTTACTCTGTCAACGTCAGCATGGGAGTAACAAAGACTGAAAAAAAAAAGAAAGAAAAGATCCCATCTCAACCCAGAAAGTGTCAAAACCTTCAAAACAAGAAGTGTAAACATGAGGAATATTTTCCGGCTGTGCTGCACATTAAAATATCATAATACCATTCCTGTCTGTCAAATGTTTGCCCTTTCTTTCTGCTCCTTCGTTACCACAAGCGTTAAGCAAAATTGCACATAAAAGCACATATTTTCTTTGCCTAAAGAGTATACAATGCCAGGCACATACTTTTCCCATCAAGGCCTGGGGAGAAAAAAAAAAAAGCGAGAACTCTCATCTCTTGTCAAACAAAAGGAATGAGCCAGAAAACACGGGGCCGAAGGGGAAACATCCAAAAAACGTTGAAACCTTGTTAGTTTGAGGAAATTAGTTTTCTGTTTTCCACGCACGACTCTGCAATTAACATTCAGTGCACTAATAAACGTTGATTGCCTCTGAAATAATGCACAACCAATTTTCCTCTTGTGTACTTGTGCCTGAGTGTAAATTAGACAGTGTAAGCATATACGTATACGTATAGCATATATATGTATGTCGGTTTATGTGAGAACATGTACACGAGTATGTTCATTCCGAGGCACTGTATCTGTGTGTGTGTTTGTGTGCGTGTGTGTTTGCTGCATTTTTTAATCTGGAACAGGAAATATTGTTGGTACATAATTATACTCTCTGCAGAGAAGCTGGCTGATTTCCATATTGTGTGTGTGTGTGTGTGTGTGTGTGTCAAGGTCAAACAGAAAAGTCCGAGCAGAGTTCTGTTGCTCTTTTGTGCTGATCTGTTGTGATTCTTTAAATGGGCCTCCGCTATGTAGCGTGTGTGTGTGTGTGTGTGTGTGTGTGTGACTGGCAGGAGTATAGGGTGATTAGCTTGTCTGATATTTCATACCTCTCTTTCTCTCTCTAATTACATTGTGCTCTCTGAGCCTTGTTTGGCTGCCAAGGCTTCTCCCCAACAAACAACACTAATAGAGTTAAGGGCAGGCCATTGTGTCATGTCAGAAATCATTTGGCTCATAGAGGTTTTCATTACAGAGGGAGAAAAAGAGAATGTTGCATATGTTGCCATGTCCAGGAGTGCGTGGACGAAAGGAAAGAGGAAGTCACCGTGGGTTGAGAGTACTTGATGGTGGTACTGAAGTGTGTGTGTGTGTGTGTGTGTGTGTGTGTGTGTGTGTGTGTGTGTGTTTTCTCCAGTGCAACTTCGCACAGACGGAGGGCAGAAGTAGAAGGAAAAAAAGAAAAACCTTCTACATTAAAAACATGTGAAACACATGCATTCAAATGAGAAACATAAAGACGTGCACATGTAGGCGCGCATACACACACACATACATACACACACACTCACACTCTCACACACACACTCACACACTCACACACACACACACACTTTAGCTCTGATATTTCCCTGTGTCTTTGAAGCTCTTTGGTCCAAATTGTTCCACTGTTCATAAATGTCATGTCATCCTTTCTCTCTCTCCCTCACTCAATCTCTTTCTCCCTCTCTGCCTTTGTTCTGTAATTGTCTATCGTGTGTGTGTCTGTGTGTGTCTGTGTGGCATAGATCACGTTTGTGGTTTTGTTTATCGTCTCTCTCTGTACGTCTTTGAGTGCTTGGTATACCTCAACTAATGTCTTATGTCGTTTGCTCTCTCTCTCTCTCCAGAGACCTCAGTGAGAACCAGATTCAGGCGGTTCCCAGGAAAGCTTTCAGAGGAATCACCAATGTCAAGAACCTGTAAGAACAATTACTCCCTTTTTTTCTGTCCCTTCTCTTTTTCTGTTTCTATTTCTGAAACTTCCATTTTCCCTTTTAAACCCTCTCACACAAACCTTTTTAATGCAAAACATTTTATACAGTTTCATTCTAAAATACTTTTTTTTTTTTTACAGACAAACATTATTCAAACCCAAATAACTCCATTTACCTTGCCATTGAGATCCTAAAGTTTCTTTTCATACCACCTACGTATGTCTGAATTTTTGGGAAATGTCTGCGAAATGAGGTTGCCTGGAAACCAGACCAATTATTTAGCTCTTAATAATGTTCTATAGCAGAACAGTTTTCCAACTATAAGAGCTTCTTAAGAGGGGAACATAGAGGAAAGCTGAACCTGTAAGTGTTGCATTTCTCCAATATTCCCTTTTTTTTCTCCTCATCTCTTCCTGTCCAGAGAGGTTTTATCCTGGCATCAAGCGTTCAATACCGACCTGTCATTTATTCATGATGTCCTAATCACCAATAGTCTAATCAATAGGCTGCCTAATCAATGCGTTCTCTCATCAATAACAGCCGATCAATCCTGGCTGATGCCGCATAGGAAAATTCTGGACAGACTCCCGGGGATACACATGTCCTCACTGCGAGAGAGGTCCAAACGGGTTCAGGTAGAAAAGGACAGAAAATATACAATAAAAGAGTTTTAAGTTCAAGTTTGTTAACGATAAAGCTTGGATTGAAACAAACTCCAGATTTGCTCAAGAAATCCTCCTTTTGTTAGTTCTGTTGGGTTTTTTTCAGTCATGACTGACATGACAGAGGAGGGGGAGGGAGGATGGAACAGAAAAACAGAGCAGAGCATAATAACTACAAGATTCAAAAAGATAATAACCCATCACTCTGGATGCTCCACAAGCACCAGAGCTGCTGAACGACAGAAGAAAAAAAAGCAAACTATATTCTTTGGCTAAATGAGATAGAAAGAAAGAAGATGAGAGGAGAGACAGAGAGTGAGAGGGTGATTGAATTCTTATTATATTTAGATTGCCCTTTGTGGTGTTTTCATTGAAATGCAAATCAAATAGACGAGACTGCATCTACACTGAATAAATACAATAAGGTAAAGAGTTCACAATAATGGACTTTAACTCAAAAAGTAAATGAATCATCACTGATGCAAAGATGGAGCAAATTTGATTCCATGCAGCTGAATTTGTCGTATGTTATACTTTCTTCAGATCAGAAGATATGATCAAAAGCTCCAGAACACGATGCTAAATGGTCGTTGTGCAGATTTATTTTCTCTGCTGTTCTTCACGTCTTCACGGACTAAAGAATGAAATTTAACCATGAGTTTTTGAACAGCATGGAGACTCTAATCGCTCTGCACAACCTTACACCTCTGACCTCAGACTCACTCACAGTATTTCATAAGATCTATTCCAAATGTGACCCAGGAGCAGAACGTATCACATCATATATTACAGGTTGTGACGTCACAGCAACGTAAGTGTTGATGATGTCAATGAGTTTCATCCTGGGAAGGTTTGCTGCGTGTGGAAGGTTTTCTTCTGAGAGCGTGGATACCTGATCCAAGCTCATCAGGGCCGGGCAGGCAAACAGTTAGGAATGACTTTGGGTTTGGATTGGGTTCAGGTTGACTGGGCTACCATTTATTTTGAACTGTATGTGCCTGTAATCTGGGAAAACATCAGGCTCGGGTCAGGTTCGGAAACAAAAAACTGAATTCCTGTCTGACTTGGTTAGATTTCTCTGTGGCCCGGTCCAATTTGGAAAATTGCATCTAGAGCATCGCTCTAATTTAACAGACATTTACGCCTGAGCACAGCCTGGTGTGAGTGTCCTGTCGTTGTCCCTCTGAGCGCATTCACTTTGAGTTCTGAAGTTTGCACATCTCCACTCTGCAGTGCTGCACCCCGCCTCTTTACCTTTTAACACCAGCCTCAATGTTTCAACACAACTCTTCACTTTTTGCCAAAGCTATAAAGTTGCATTAATCAAGATGTCCCTGCCCTCGTTAAAATGTTTCACACTAAATTGCTTTGACACACAAAGTGAATCATGGGAGAATCAGGCATTTAAAGACCATTCATTTTTCCCTCTCTCTTTTTGACGTTTTGCGATGCCTCCTCCTTCTCCTCTTTTCTATCCTCCTCATCTTCCTCTTGTTTCTCCTCCCGTCCAATCAACTTTCCTTCACTTTTTCATCTTGTTTTTTTCTCATCACCCCTTTCAACCCCTCAAGTTGTGTCTCTTTCCTCCACTTTTCATCATTCTCTTGTTCTCTATCTTTCCTTTCATCCATTATTCTTTTATTTCTCTCTCAGCAGTTTGTCTCCATCTCTTTCCCTCTAGGTCACTTTTCTCTCTCCTTCAATTTCCTTTTTGTATTTTTTCTCTTTTTCAACATCCCTCCATTTGCATCTCCCACCAACCAGCCCCATTCATTAACTTCCATCCCTCACTTTTTCCTCACTTTTTCCTCTCAATCCATCCATCCATCCCTCCATTACACAAGGTGACTCCTGCAGTAAAAGGCTTCAGCCCTCCATTATACCACAGATAAAAAAAAAAAA